AAACCGGCATTATTTTCTGCACTTATTTCTATTTATTCTGGTACATTTATTGCTGATTTCCGTATTCTAAAGAGGAGCAGGCTGATTTTTGAAATCTAAAGTACTTAATTTAATCTGTTTTATCTGGGCTGCCAAACCAGTTACTGATATTTGATTTAACAATTAAAATTTTTGCTTCTGCTTTGACCATATCTGAGTCTGAATTTGACATTCCAAATATCGAATTCCGGTTGCGGATTTCCACTTAGTTAACTCGATGATATTAGTTGAACACGTGAAGATGTATAGTTAAAGGTACATAATGATATAATATCATGTCAGTAAATGGAATGAATTTGTTGAAAGCACATAATAATACACTCAAATATTTATCAGGTAAATCAATTAATTAAATGAAATTAAAATTTTTGATTGTGGAAAGCACGTATTGTTAATCAAAATGTACAATATAATATAGTCATAATTAAAAAGTCGTCTCATAGAGTTACTAGAACTAAATAAAGCTGGATTTTTATGATAATTTTTTAAAGCTGGCACAATCCAGAAACTTTACTCACTATTTTTGATATCGGTATTAAAATCCCCTGACAGCTCTCTTTTACTATAATTTAATAAATATTGACTAGGGATGATGAATCACCTCGAAAATTGTCGCAAAGTATTGGGTTTAGTTTTTTTCCTACAGCATTCTTTGACATGTTTGATAATAGTATGATGAATGGTCTGGATATATTCCTTCTAACGACGCAACTATGATAATGTACAGTTATCTCCTCCTTTATTCGCAAACAAATTGTCTCTTCTCCACGGGTTAGGAAACATTACGAAATGTATATTTCACCAAGATTTCTTGGATTGACTATTTTCCAACAACAAATGTCTATGTGGCCGGTTAATGCTTTCAACATGTGTTTTTTTGAATATTTATTTTCAAAAAACTTGGAAGTCTTACTTTTCCAAAGCTTTTATCATACGTTGAATTATTGACTGTGCGCAACTGTACTTTGAAAAAACAAGATATTGACTGAGAAAAGCTCAACTAAATTGGAAGCTATAATTGAAGTAAAATAAACTTAATCGTTTCGTTCACATTTATTTTAACCCTGTTTATTTGTTGATGCGAAAAAATTCTACTAATTGAAAAACAACAAAAACATAGGTTAAAAACAACCGAGTTATTATTTTTCCCTTTTTTGTTTTTTATCTAAGAGCGAAATGCAATTTACTCATTTACTTATTTTTTTCCAGGTGGGTATAGATGAGTGCTTATACGAAAACCAGATGTGCGAAGGATCTTGCACAAACACGTTGGATATAAGTGCCTTGCCGTACATGGTAAGTGTTGGATCTATTAATAATTCTTTTAAGTAATGGCCTGTCAACCGCAGACAGGTTACGAGACGCTTCATCTATATCTCAAGGATTCCTTGATAATAGTAACCGTTTAATATATTGAGCTTGTGACAGTTGTGATGTATTAGAGATTAGCTGAATAGAGATTTTGAATGACATTGGGGACAAATTAACCGGAAACTCGTTATTGGAAAATTGCTTCAAAATGATTAAAAGTTTTCAGTTAGAAGACTTCAATGTTGGTTCAAACTCAAATAACTTAATTATGACAACAAAAAGCAACTATTTACTTTTTATTGAAGTTTAAGGAAGCAACTCAAATTTTGTTAACCAGAATCATATTTGCGACATTTAAATGTGTGTGCATGTCCATTGCAAAACTTCCTATCATATGTCTCAAGATTCATTAATACTTGTTTAGTGTTTTTCTATTGCCTTCAAGGGAATTTTATGTAGGTTCTCGGGATAATTTTACAGTTTTCGAAATTATTTTATTGCTTTTTCTGCTGTTCACAAACATAATTTAATATTATTTTACTTGTATGGCATTAATTTCTGATACATTCAAAACGTTTTACATTTTTTGACAACACTAATATTGATGCTTAAACTATCTTCTGCATAGAAATAATGTTTCTGTAATAAATTTTATATTTATATGTAACCTTTTTGTGTGCTGTTTTGTTTTTCAGCTGAATATTTTTGTAGTCAATTATTAAGTCAGTTTGTCAGATATTTATTGTGAATCAGTTTGAAAGTTCTTTACGGATTATCCAACGGCTCAACAGCAGGCGAATAACAGGAAAGTCGATCTCGTTCTCTCGAAAAAATTATTAGATTTTTTTGTAATATGTTCCCATTAACTTGTTCGTCCGGGGGATTTGTTACTAAAGCACGAATTATGCTTTCAGGTGGGTTTATGCAGAGCCATTCAGTTAAGTATCCTTCAGTAAATAGTGGTTCAATTAACGCGTTTCCGAGAATACCAGCTCAAACATTAATTTTCTTGTTCTTCACTCTGTAGAACTCTCTTTAAAAAACCTAATATCGACATTTCTATGCGCTGACAGAATGATAAGAGAAGCTTTTCTCACCGCTAAAATTAATGGCAACAAAATATTGTTGTTTTCAATAAAATTACACACGATATGACAAAACTGCTATAGGAAAATGAACGCTAAATATTTTCTTTAATGATATAGTACAGGGTTCTATTAAGTATATGTACTCACGATAACACTGAACTAGTTGAAAGTATGGCAGTAATTAACTTCAACTTTCAGCTTGACATTTTTTCATTGCAGACGGGCTTTATTTACTCTTTAGATCGGGGCATAAAATTCAAAGAAAACATAACTCTTAAAAATAGTTTATGAAAGTTTGCTTTTCTTTGTTGGAAAAATCCAATATTATTTTACGTTGTTTGATGTTAACCAATCAATACCATTCCGCAGGGCTATAAAAGGACGATATAATGTTCGAAAAATGTGCAATATTTTCCTTTTGAATTTCAATTATTGGGTTCATATCAATCGAGAAGGCACATCTGAAAAGTATAAATAACCCAAAGGCAGAATTAATTAAAATCGCAATATATGAAACCCCAGCTTTGAATATAAATTAAATTTCCCTTAAATTGAAAATTATAATTCGGTATATAAAATGTTTATTATATCGTTATCTTTCCTGGGTCTCAACCAAAGTGTGAAGTAAGAATTTTGAATATCGTTTATTTCATTACGTTTCTGCGAGACAAAAGCGCCATCATCAGATTTAAAATTTACACAAACTACAAACACCAATTCACAATTAAAACATGTTGTATAAAGACTATAATTTATAAAGCGTTAAAACATTCATCAGTTCTTGAGGGAAAAAATCCTTCCTTTTGGCAGAGCAAAACATTTGAAAAACTTACTTCATAATTGGTAAACATTACGTTCTTTTAGGCCTTTGCCTTCTTGAAACCTTAAATTTGTCTGAATTATTTTCTACATTTGCGAGAATGCTATGCATGTATTAATCTAAGCCGAAATAGTTTTAATTTTTCACTATTGTACTGAGTGTTCTATACTTGTATGGCTTTATTAGGGTTTGGTAAATGTTGCTAAGGTTGTCGGTCTGTTGTCTCGCCGAAACGTAATAAAATAAACGATATTCAAAATTTTTACTTCACACTTTGACTGAGACCCAGGAAAG